GGCCGGCCGGCGAGCGTGGGTAACCGGCCTTTAACGGCGGCGGGTGACGGCTCGCGGCGCGCCCAACCGCGCGCCGCGGGGTCTGCTGAAGCGTTTCAGTAGAAATAATGTGGAAAAGCCCCTGCCCAGCAAACCTCCTCCACCCTTTCCTTCTCGTTTTCTTTTGATCGTGGACCGTTCTCCCACGCCTTGAAGAACAACCTTTTAAATGCGGCACTGCTGCCGCGGTGGTGCTTTGGCACATCCCGGCAGGATGGGGTCTGGGCTTATCTTCTCAGAACTCTGGCACTCTTCAGGCTTTGATCCTGCACCATCTAACCCTTCAGCAACTATGTAAAGAGCCTTTGCAGGGGCATTGAAGTGTATCAGTTTTTATGGGTTGCGGCTGGAAATAAGCTTTGTATGTATTTTGGGAGTGTCTGGATACATACAGAAATTTCTTGGTTTATTTAAGACGTGGTTCAGTACGGTGCTGCTCAGCACCTGAGAGGTGCCAGGTACCTTCGGTACCCATGGCCTTTCAGCATCCCGCAGGGTCATTCCTGTGTGTCTGCAGTCAGAAAGGTTCATGTCATAACGGCGCCGGCAAATTTCATAGGCTTCATCTGTCTAGTTATACCCTGTCATAACATCGGCTCAAACTGGATTACCCCTCAGTTAAATTTATTTAGTTTGTGTTGTAAATTATTGAACAAATCTAAAGTGACCACCTGGGGGTTAAATAATTTATGTGCGTCTACACATGGGTTTCTGCTGGTTTAACTATATGCATTTTTAAAAACTGGAACGCTTCTGGTTCATGCATGGCCTTGATATATGCAGTTTGATACAGTGAAATGCTTGAATAATCATCTAAGTACGGCTGAGCTGTAGCTGAGCTGCTGGTGCCTGTGCTAAGAGGAGTAGGTACAACACCAGAAGAGGAGGATAAAAGCAGAACCAGCCAACACAAACCCATGATAATTATTAATTTGACACAATTTTGCGCATACTCACTGCTAATTGAATCATGTTGCTACTGTTTTTTTGTTTATTTTTTTTGTTTTCTGAATTCTTTCAGGCTGTATTTTTCTGTGGATTCAAATAGCACAGTGAGAAGCCCTGATCACAGCATCTTGATTTTATTGGAGCAAATGTAAAATGATGCCCACATTTTCTGGCAAGGCAGGCGGTTCACTTTCCTTGCATTATCAGATGATATTTTTACTCTCCTGGCTGCCCTCTCTTGTTTGCATGTCGGACCAGCTGTCTGTTGCCCCCACTGGGATAATCTGTCTAGCTTGCAGCCTGGTCCTTCGTGCACATCTGAGCTGCTCCAGAGAGATTTGACTGCTGCTAAAAGAACGGTAGAGGTAGATTACAGTTTAGGCATCCTTGCTTCAGAGCCACTTTAGCTGTGTTAAACTGTTAGCATCTTGACCTTATCAGTATACTAGTCACTTAGTCTGGGAATCTCCTGAACTTCCTCAGTTCAGGTAGACAGGCCTTACAAAACCTTGGGGTTTTGAGATCTTTGCTTCTCCTTGCTATTAAAGTTCACCCAGACTTTCATCTTCTCACCTAATTATTGTTGCCTATCCTTCTGGCTTTTATTATGTCCATCACCTATTCAAAGTGCTGGTGCTGATGATATTTCCTGGCATGCCGTGCTCTCCGTGTTAGCTTTCTGTAGGTCTCTCAGTTGTCTTTATCTTCCATTGTGTTGAATTCAGGTTTCTCGTATCGTAAGGCCTTTTACAGTTCTTTCTATTCTGCTCATTATTTTGTTTCTTACTGAATTTTACCATCCACTTTGTCTGCTTCCTGCGTACTTGCATTTGTTCCCTTCCTTATAGGTACTATGTGATTTCTAAATTAATGTTTAAAATCACAAACCCATCTGTGTGTAAAGTTCCTCAAAACAAAACATGTTACTACACATTATATGTGAGGTAATCGTAGTCCGAAGGGTAACACTTTCTGTAACCTGGATGTTGCGACAAAGATTTGAACACAAGAGCTTGTAGTTCTGCAACTTTGTTCTCTTCTGTTCATTTGTTAACCGTGCCTGTTGGTTATGTCTTGTTTCGCAAGCTCTTCAGTAAAGGTAGCGTGTGCTGTGATACTTGGTCAGGAAGAGTAGTTCAGATTTGGCTGGAATCTCTTGGTACCATAATAACAAAAAATACTTTTTTCCCTGTTGTTCTAAATGCACCCAGGCAAGAGTGTGACAGAGATTGCTTCCAGGGAAAATTCAAAGCAAGTTATTTATTGCTGGGTAGCATACTTGTATTGGATGCAGTTTATAGTAGGGGAAAAACTGGCAGTGCCTTGAAAGAATGTCGAATGTTAATGTTTGAGCTACTGTAAAGGATGATTTAGCGCTTTAAAAACAAATCCGCCCCCCTCCCCCATCTTTTAAAGTTGTTTAATTTATTTCTCTGTTCTCTCTGTCTTGCTCAGTTAGGACAGTGTGGTTAGATGCTGGCTGTGTTTGGCCAGTTGCAGATTTTCTAATCCCAGGATAGGGAACCTTCCTCTGGGATAAAGCTGAACTGTAGGTAATTTCTGTGTTTTGTCCTTGTGCGTGTGTGGCGGAGATAGAGGAGTGATATGGTCATATCATGGCATTTTGTGGGGCTTTTGGGTTGTTGCCAGTTGGTACAGATTGAGCAGTTTCTGGAAAAAAATGGTTGCGGATGGATCAAATACTCTTGCACCGACCAGAGAAGGATGAATGATGTAGGTTTGTAAATGCTGTTTAAAGCTCTGGTCTTTCAATTCGCTGGGGGTGGTTCCGCTGCTGCAGTTACATTAGGCCTCACTGATTTCAGAGGGGTTTTGTTGAAGTGAGTGCTTAGGAGCGGGGCCTGGAGTTGCTGGCTTCCAGAAACAACTCTTGTGTCAGTTCATCACCTGCCAGAGTGACACGTGGTCTTGCCTTGAGTTTATGATAAAATTGTAATGTTGGTGATGTGTATGTTTGTCCTGTAACGACCAAATTCATGCGAAATACAGCTCTTCCAGATACAAGCAGTCTTAACAGAAAACAGACAAATTCATCTAACAAGTTCTATTCCCCGAGCTGAGACTGAGGCAGTGTGAGGGAGATGCATGTAAGCCACGGTAGTGAGAGTATAGTCGTATTTCTTTACTGTATTTTGGTACATGGGGGACTCTTGTAAATATTTTTGGCGTAATCTGTTAAAATTTTGTTTCCTTTAAACAGGACTGGAAGAATAAAGAGAAGTTTAATTTATGAGAACTATAAGAAAGCGTACAACAATTTGGAATGGATTGATTTATGATACCTCTGATATGTGAGAGCTACATTTTCTGTCGCTGTTGGCCAGCTGCTGCTGGTGGACTTCAGCTGACTTCATTGCAGCAAGCCCAACAGATAGGTCCTCATCGCTAATAGAACATAAACAAGTGTGATGCTGAAATGAGATGAGGCTCCGAAATGGAACTGTGGCCACCGTGTTAGTTTTCATCACTACTTTCCTCAGTTTGTCCTGGTATACTGCATGGCAAAATGGGAAAGGTAAGTAAAAGGCTCCAAAACCAAACTGACCTTCACGTGGCTGCATGGCAGAGGAATGAATAGTACAGGCGTGTGCACTGCTGCTGTATGTTAGCAATTTGTAAATTGCTTGTTGACTAGCTCTGCTCCAGAAGGTATTGCCTTGGTGAGGAATAAACACCTGCAATAGATTCAGGAAAATTAACTTGGAGTGATCCTGATTTTAAAAGAAAAATAATGTACCTGAAGAAAAACTAATGCTGCTGTTGGAGGAAGGGGTGGGTCCAGGCTGAATAGTTGTGCTTTGGGTTTTTTTTTCCTGGTTTATAGTTGTTGGAAAAACATATGGTTTGGTGTTTTTGTTGTTGTTTGGTGTTTTTGTTGTTGTTTGGTGTTTTTGTTGTTGTTTGGTGTTTTTGTTGTTGTTTGGTTGTTTTTTTTTCCTTTTTTTCCCCCCATGTAACATACGGCCAATGGACCTGGCTGGAGAATGTTATTTTTGGTGCTGCTTTCTGTCTTTACTGATGATTCAGTGATGGCAGTGGCAAACTGCCAGTCAGCATTCTTGAAAGACTTCTCTTGCTGTCTTTGAATGAAATGTAAAATATTTCTTGTCTGAGCGTGATATAAGAAATAAAGTAATATGAGCAAATTGACCAGGTAATGGGAAATACATCTATTACAATAACATGAGCAATCTCATGAAATAATCAAGTAACTATTGCGTGTAATAGACTTTTACCTTTTTATATATCTTTGTTGACCTTACTGCACTCCATTGTGAACCTTGGAAAATTCAGTTTTTCTTGAGAGTCAGGACTGTTTACTGCAAGTAAGGTGTTTTGGTTTTGTCCTTCAATAAGGCAAATAAACTTGTTCAGCAATGGTTTCTAGAAGAAGAAAGGTTTTGTTTTGGTTTTTTTTCCTTTATGAACATCTGATCTCTTGAAGCGTAGTAGACTATGTCCTTCAAAGATCAAGTAATTTTAAAACATATATTCTGTCTTAAGTGAGATTGCTACATGGTTTGTTCGGACTGTTCTGCTGAGAATATTATCTTCAGTTGTGCTTCAGGTCCAGTAAGAGGAAGCTGAGGTTTTCCAGGAATACTGTCTGTTGTAGCACAGATGACTTGTAACCCTTATTTAAATATAAAAGAAGCAGATGAGTTCTGTGGCATATTGAATTTTTTTTTCCCCATTGGGCACTTGTCGGAGAAGCAGGTGCTTTGTGGTGTGATCTCTGCTGTAGCAGTTGATAGGTAGGCTAGCCTTCTGAATGTAAGCAGCAGGAAAAATGTCAGGTTCTCAAGGTTGTGATAATATGTGGATCTTTTAATTGGACAACAAAGTGTAAACGTGCCAAAGACTGACAAGAAAAGGATATTTGAATAGCACTGTAAGTAGTATTTTCTTCATTTTGGCTAATACCACATTCTATAGTTAAATTTTTACATTATTGATTCATTTCTTGCTGAAGAACCTCACAAGAATCTTGCTTTCACTTCAGCAAAGATATATATCTATGAAATTCTTTCTCATGCTTTTTTTCTTTCTTATGTGACATATGATTTACAAGTCTTGTTCTCTTTTGTCAAAATGTAACACAAAGAAAAGTCTTCATTAAAAGAAATTAAAAATCTGCTATTTGGAGAGTACTAGTATATATAGCACTTGGTGACAGTTTAAGCTTTTGTTGGTCAGACTGCTCTATTTTTTTATACTTTTTATTTTTCTATCTGAATGCTTAGAATCAATACTTTCTTAATGTTGGTATAAAAGTTCTGCATTTTTCTTCTTCCAGATCTTGCTGTTGAGCATTAAGATAGTAATTTGTTAAATAAAAATCAGTGTAACAAGACATCAGTAATGTGTTAATCATAAATCACAGTTATGAAACTACAGTCTAGATAATTTGCTCTTAAGGTGTTGCTTCAAGAGAAATTTATACATAGAATATTGTTTTTTAAATTTTATTTTACTTTTTAACTTATGTTTAGCATTTTATTAATTTGCTCAGGTTGTCTAAAACCAAAACAGATTTGAGTTAATTTAGTACCATGTTTTCAATCAGAGACATTTCTGCAGCAATGGAAGAGGTTCAGAAACTGAGAATATGTATGTATTAATACTATTTTTTTTTCCAAGTTTGATATCACTTTATGTTTATTTAGTAAGCCTTGCAGGATGTTATCTTAATTTGTTGGTAACATTTTCATTACAAATTGAGTGGCTCAATAAGAAGCAAATATAGTGCTTGCTGTTCCCTTCCACTGAAAGGTTATGGGGGTGTCACATACTCTGGTCATCATCTTTTGTTATTACATTTATATGGCATGCACTAGATTCCTGTACATATTTGTCAGTCTTTGGACAGCAAAGTAAATCTATACTTGGAAAGAAAATACTATTTACGTTTTTTAAAAGAAAAAGCAAAACCTCAAATCGCTAGCTTCTCAGTGATAACTAAAATTTTGCTTTTTAAAAGCAGAAGCATAGTGCCTTGTTTCTAACAACCCTAATCCAGTCTTCAAGTGATTAATTTTAATTGAGGAACTAAGATCTTGGATAATTGTCACTTAAAATGCAGAACCATTTGTAGAATAGCAGTAAGACTGGGATGATGTGATATTTTTGTCGATCGTTTCTTCCTCTAGTAAATATACCTAGTCCCAGTCTATGCAGGATACGATTTAGACACTTCAAAGCGATACAGACTTTGGTAGTAGTTTAAAGTGCAAAAAATTGTCTCTGCAGAACAGTGCTTTACAAACTTCATGGATATGCTGAAAAGTTGTCAGGAGTTGAAGGAAATAGTCTCTCTGAAGTGCCGTCACTGGAAACAGCATGGCTTTAGCTTACCCCGTGGTCTGATGATGTAAATAACCCTTCACAGGGCAGATATTGCTATTTGGATGAAATGGCCAATTACATGGTTTTGCTTTTAATGTTAACTGTGTTTGAAGAAGGTTGACTGAAATACCTCTGGTTGTTGGAGAGAGTCTTCAAAATTAAACCAAGGTCTTTGTCATTTTCTGGACCCCATGCAATGTCTAGAAGCACTGGAGTTGTAAGGAAGCAGTACAAGCCCTGAATACACCTGGGAAAGACCTCTCCTGTGGGATTCATGAACAAGAGTTGTAAGACTGCTTTCTAGGAGATAAAATTTGCTATGGTTAGCACAAATGAAGTAGATGTTGGAAATCAACTCTTACCAAAATGCAGATTACTTTGGTGTACAAAAGGAGCACTTTTAAAGGATCTGCAGTCACTTCACATTCACAGTTAGTCGGTTCAGTATAAGATGTCCTTGAATTCCTCCTAAAACTGAGCTCTTATGCAAGTGATAACTTTATGCTTAACACCATGTCTTTTGACTGAATCATGCTTTTTGGTACTACTGACCTGCTCAGGGTCACAGGTCTTCACCGCCTCATTTGTGAGCTACAGAAATGTAGTGGTTTTTTTTATCCTAAAGGCACTGCTTTTAAGAAGATCTAACCAGTACAAAACAGTACTGCGTACCTATAACACCAGTCTAAAGATTACATCAGAGCTGTTGTGTGCTATGTAGAGAGTGTCATCTTGATGCTTTGATCTTTAATGTGACTAGTGGTCTGAGTACATAACGTTCAAG